CACACACACACGCGCGCGCGCGCGCGCGCGCGCACACACACACACACACACACACACACATATGTATATAACGTAGGGGAAAAAACGAAGATTGCTGAGCTTGCCTGCTTTTATCATAGACGTAATTATTGACCCTTTGATTAGATACATAACGTTATTGCTTGTAATAAACAATTATCGTACGATCAATGCGTAATTATATGTTCCTTTAAAATAACGCTAAATTATATATTACAGATATTTTTTTCTCAGTTCAGGGAAAGATTTATTCATCGCAGATTTTCATTTATAACATTTAAACATTTTTTTAACGCAATAATATTAAATTATTTAATTTATTTTATTAACTTAGATTAATAGATAAAGCTAATAGAACGTATATCTACTTTCTAGATACAAAGAAACATAGCGTTTCAACTTTTTTAGATGGCCTTCAATTCACTCGACAATATGATCTAAAGAAGCGATATCGTGATTGTTTCGTGCAGCGTAATTTTATGATTTAGGACGCAATCTTAGTTTTCACACGTAATCGCGTCGTGTTGCAACAGAACGGTATGAACTGAACGGGTCACCAATTAATGCTGGAACTGGCGAACACGATGACGTAACGCTCACACTCGCTATCTCGAATGTGCACCACCTGCGCTCCAAGTTCGATTATCTCCTACAACCCACAGAGACACCCCCGAGGATGCTCGATAACCACGTGCCGGGAGTTAATCGATCGTGCGACATCTGCCCGACGTGATTGTCATATCTTTGGAGCGTGATATATCAAATATAAGATTTAACAATATCTAAATTGTCAACAAGAATTAATGTCACTCAAAAATAATGCTTTTGTATTAGCGGTAAAATAACAGACAAAATTTATTCATGCACACGAAAGGCGCGAAGGTCTTTATTTTAATATATAAGCTTGTTTTCTCAAGTAAGTATAAATAAATTTCTAGTTCAATTTAATGTTTAATTTAATAAATAAATTATCAGATATATATATATATATTATATATATATATATATATATATGTATGTATTAAATGTTTGTCTGTATAAATTTTATATAACATAATTGAAAATGTATAATTTGAAATTATAAAACTTATACACTTCATAGTCAGTTCCAAAAGAGAAAACAAAATAATATTATTATAATACATATTATTAATTAATAATTCATAATCTTCATAACATAACGCGTATAAAATAGGATTATTATCGTTAATAATAATATTTCCTATAATAATTTTCTCTCACGAGAATGTTACATTTTCTATGTAATCAATGATAATTTTATAGAAGCAAAAATTAATTTTCATTAAAACAACCTTAATATGTTATCGTTATTTTGATGTGGTAAAATTAGTTTTAACGTTGTGTCGATTAGCAAAACACATTTTTCATTTTTCAAATAAACTTATTGTTATCTGTTTGCGTTTTAACTTTTAATACAACTACTTTAAACTCACTCTGTGATTTATTAATCTTACTTAAAAAAAGATATATTCATAATAGTTAATGGGAGCTTTCGTGTTCCAATGTTTTAAAGATGCGAAATTCAGGATATTACTCGCAGTTATTAGGTGATTATCGATTAAAAGTTTAAATATCCAGGTAATTAAAGTGCAGTGAAAAATGATTCGAAAATCTGGGACGTTAAGAGGATGGAGCTACGTAGATACGTTTATGTTCGGTGTGTCGGTACCCTTCAATTATCGGAAACGACGAGCGCAAGAAACGAGGACGTCGTAGGTGGATGGTAATTAATTAACCGCTTCCTCTCGTTACCGGCGGTTCTTGACCGCGCGGTATTCGCTCAAGTAATAAGCTACGGGTAGGGCAATAATATTCCGTTCATATCTCTTGTTAATACACGATGGCTCTAAAAATTTTATAAATCGATCGTATAAAACCATAACTAACAGATATCGAAGTAGGTTGTACTAAAATATGTAACATATTTTCATTAAATACGTGCATTAGAGGCAATATTAAATCGTATACATTAAATATTATTAACATGACATATAAATAATGTTATCATATATCACACGTGAATCATATCTTCGCTAACAATATTTCCCAATAATACACGTGAATATTACAACACAAGCAAACGATACAGTAATCTTTTATCTGTGTTATTAGTTTTAATAGTATTACGGTATATATAATACGTCTCGTAAAAGTTTCGCAATAACGTAATAATCATGGGGGAGCTTAATTACGTCATAAGTTTTCGCATTCATCAATTATGAAAAACTTTAATTGTGCATAATTGCATAATTACAGGGCACACTGTGCGCGATAAGAATAATACCCGTATCTTTTAAAATATCGCGTACGAAAATCTTCAGAAGGAAAATTCAGTTTGTCCTACAGTATGTACGATGTTATATCCTACGAAATCAATTCCGCTCTGTTTTGCGATGCGGGCTTCAGTTTACGCTTGATCGCGCAAAAACGCGAACGTTATATAATTTATAAGACGGATGTTCCTAAAGCAAACAATGTACGTACTTTTCTCCGGCAATTTGAAAGAAGAAATTCGAGCGAAAGAAACTCAAGCAGAGGAGCGAGACATGTATGCATTCACGTGTGCCATAAATAAACGATGACCCTTGGTAGAGATGCATCGAGTAGACTGCGGTTGTCTTGAATGAAACATCCTCAAAATGAAAAATGTGCATCTCCGCACGGTCTCTCTCTCTCTCTCTCTCTCTGA